CCCAGCACCAGCCGCTCGCCGGTCTCCGTGTACTCATAGTCAAACTGCGGGGCGCGGGTGAGAGGGGGTCCGCGGGGCCCGCAGCACTAGCCTCTCGCCCCTCGCCTCCCGGCTCCCGGCTCCTGGCTCCCCGGCCGGTCCTCACCTCGAGTACCTCCCCCACGCCCTCCGCCTCCTCCGCTGGGGCCATGGACTCGGGATTCGACACCAAGGCCTGGATCAGGCGGCAGAACCTGAGAGCAGAGGGTCAGACCCACGGAAGGACGGCGTGGACGCCGGGAGCCCTGGAGAGTCGCCCCTTCGTTCCCACTCCCCTGGGCGTCCCTCCCTGAGAGGGGCCCCCCCAGCAGTGCCCGCCGCTGGGGAAGCACAGCTGGACGTCCTGGGCCGGGGGCAGCGCGTAGAGGAAGCAGCAGCGCCCGTCCTGCTTGGAGGCGCTGGAGGGGACCAGCCCAGTGAGGCCAGGCCCCGCAACCCCGCCAATCGCGCCCTCAGCGGCATGGCGCCCTCTGGGGTCGTGGTCGGGGTCAGGGTCGGGGTCGCCTTCTCACCTGACACCGCAGATGGAGGCCACGGAGAAGGTCTGGCTGGAGGGGACATCCTGTGGAAGACAGAGGGCTGAGGACGCCAGCGGCTCTGCAGAGAGGGGCCTGGCGGGGGGCAGGGGCTCACGGGGCTCCACCTGGGTCTCCGGCTCCAGCAGGCTCAGTGTCACAGCGCTCACCGGGTCGGCGCCCTGAGCCTGGAGCACTGCCGGCAGCATCACCTTGTTCATCTCCAGGACCAGCACCTAGGGACGTGGGGAAGGGTCAGCAGGAGCTCACCCCTTGGGAGTCCCCGCCCCATTGCTCACCAAGCACTGGTCCCCCTGGGGAGAGGCCTCATCCAGCGGCTGGCAGGACTGCAGCAAGAATTGGAGCCAGAAGTGTGCGCGGCGCTGGGGCCCCCCAGAGGGCGCAGGCGCAGGCCTGAAGTGCTGGTAGAGCAGGACCGTCTCCATAACCGACACCAGGTACCTGCAGGCACGGTCAGTCGCTCAGCTGGGCACAGCGGGCACTGCCAGGGAGCGTGGCCGGACCGTGGGCGCTGGGTGCCTGGGCACTGGTCTGAAAGCAACCGGCTCAGTCAGGAGCACTGCGGCTCACTGGCACAGGGCAGCCACTTACCAGACGGGGGCGCTGAGCCTGTACAGCTGCTCTGCGGCCAGCACCACCTGGACAGGGTCGTTGGCAAGGATCTGGACGCCCAGGTAGAAACCCGCGTCCCAGTAGTGCTGCATCTTCTCCACGCGGCCTTTGCGGGCCAGCAGGCAGCCCAGCTTCATGCCTGCATGGGCACGGGCCCCAGGGAGTGTGGGCGGGCCCAGTGAGTGGAAACGGACGTGAAAAAGACAGGCATGGCCAGAGCTCAGGCCCAGGTGAAGGCTGGGCTCAAGTGCACGTGGAATTCACGTGTAAGGACGCTCAGGTGTGACCCTGGGTGCAGGTGTGGCTCAACGGCTCCCGCAGCTCCAGGACAGCACAGGACCCAGCGTAGGTAAGATCCAGGCGTCCACAGAGGGTGGACCCTCGGCCAGCTCCTGCCCAGCATCCCCTCTACCCCAGCCCTTTCGAGGCCCCCTGAGCCTCAGTGGGGACAGGGAGCAGGGGTTGTGCTCACCTATGAGCCGGAGTTCCTCCGAGTCCTCGAAGTGCTGCCCAGCGGCAATGAGGAGCACAGCTGCGTTGATGCCCGCATGGAGACTAGGCTCCACGTCAAAAGCCTTACGGTACCTGGGATGGGGGCGCAGGACCCAGGGCTTCAGCACTGCCCCACTGCCCGCCCCTCCTTCCCTGGCTCAGCCCCTGTCCTCACCAGTGACAGGCCTGCTCCCGGTGCCCAGCATCCTGGAAGCCGGAGCTGAAGAACAGGTCCTTGTAGACGCGGCCACACATACAGTACAGGTCAGGTGCCACTGGCGCCTCGGACTGCACCAGGGGCAGCAGCACAGCCAGCGCCTTCTCCCGGTCCCCAGGCCTGTTCCTCCTGCAGGAAGGGCAGATGGGCAGAGGGCCTGTGCATGGCCCTGACCCACTCTGTCCAGTCGTTACTCTGACAGTAATGATCCCAGGATGACAGTGACCCTGGTCAGCACCTCTCTAGGGGTTCTTAGCTGCGGTGATACTAAACAGCAGTCTCAGACAGCTGTGACACACCCAGGGTGTCCCACCTCCCCTGCCCCTCCCGCCCGGCAGCAGTAACCCAGACCGACAGCAGCCTTGGTGCCTTCACCCTGGTCAGCAAACAGCCTGAGTGGCAGTGGTCCCAGAGCCCTCTGCGTGGCTGTGGCCTGAGCCTGCTGCCTCACCGGTTGAGGGCGAAGGTGTAGTGGAAGCAGACGCTGTGCTGCTCCTTGACATCACAGGTGGGCAGGGCCTGCAGCGTCTCCACCAGCTGGATGATGGCTGAGTAGTCCTGCAGAGGGCAGTGAGCCCTGGGTCGGGTCGGAAGCCTGGGCCCCAGGGGACCTGAGCAGGTCCTGCCCCACCATCACCCAGCTTCACCTAGCAGTCCATGCATACCCTCAGGCCCTGGGCCACCTACAGAGAGCCCACTGTGGCCCACATGGGGTCTCCCTGCCCACACCTGCCCCAGGAGGCAGTGACAGGAAATTCTCCAGCACAAAGAGGAAAACTGGGCTCGGCCACATCAGAGAACTTGCTCGAAGCCATCAGTAGGCCGGCGGCATGCCACGGCAGGAATGGCTGCACGTGGGAGCCACGCACCTGCACATCGCGGTAGGACAGCAGCAAGTTCATGACGACGTCAGGGCTCAGCAGCTCCACGCTGTCCAGCCTCTGCTGCAGGCGCGCCAGCTCCTGCCGCAGCTCTTGCCCCCCCAGCCGCTCCCGGGCCTGTCGGATCCCCTGCCGGATGGTCTCCCGGAAGTAGCCGCTGATGTGGGGAAAGAGAATAGGACCTGCCCCTCAGCCCCAGCCCAGTGCCCTCACCAGCCTCCACAGCACACCCCCCTTACCAGGAGTCCGTCGGGGTGGCCTCCAGCAGGCGGGCCAGCCGGTCCACCAGGGGGGTGAGCAAGGCCTCGGTGCCCACCCCAGCCTGCACCAGTCCATCAGCGAGGCCCCTCAGGAGGCCAGCGTCCCCACAGAGCACACGCCCAGTGCCTGTTACCAGGTAGGGGATCAGCGTGTAGCTGCCGGCACAGTCCTGGGGAAGGCAGTGCGGGCAGGAGAGGAGAGGGGTCAGAAGGCATCACCAGAGAGCAGTGGACAAGCAAAAGGAGCACACTTCATGGAGGGGAGCCACAGAAGACAGAGGGTCAGACAAACGTCAGGGGCATGGGCGTCAGAGGTGACAGAGGCGGCCAGGAAGTTAGTAGAGGTTAGAGGGCACGCAGGTGAGGGGTGGGTTCTGCTCACCGAGTTCTTCTGGAAGACATCTTCCTGAAGGAGGCAGGAGTCATATATACATGTCCCAGGTAGACCCGCCCAGCCCGTGCCACGCCCCCAGCCCGTGCCACGCCCCCAGCCCCCACCTACACGCAGGGCCTGCAGGTCGGGGAGGTCGGCCTGGGCACAGAGGAGCACGTTGTTGGCCATGCTGAAGCTCTCGCGCACACCCAGGTGGTAGAACAGGGACGGCTGTGCCAGGGAGCTGCTCACCTCCAGCACCACCAGGTCTGTGGGCACAGGGGTCCTGAGCCCACAGCCCCACTGCCTTGCCCAGACCCTGCCTTGACCTCAGTGTCCCCTGTTAGTGTTCCTCTGGCCCCTTTCACCCTGACGTCTGGGTGTTGCTGGAGAGGGCCGGCTGCGGGGTTATGCCTTCAGCCGCTGAGGGCCTGGCAGCCCGGGCGGGGCGAGGAGTCTGCACACTGAGCATGTAGGGGCCAGAGGGCGCAGGACCTGCAGGAACGCGGACGTCCCCTCCCAGGCCTTGCAGACTCTTGAAAGGGAGATGACACCTTCTGGGGGTAGACCACGCTGCACCTGCATGTGAGTGCGTGTGTGCATGTGTGTGTGGCTTATTGCTTCTGTCAGGGTCTGCAGGGACTGCGTGCGTCAACGCGTGTGCAATCGTGACTCGCACTGACAGCCACGATGATCTCTGTCCTCGTGGTCGGGTCGGCCATCATATTTTGGCCAAGACGTGTGAACACCCAAAAGCCTTGTTCCGGACTCTGGGAATGAACAAGGATGCCCCACCCCTACGTCCAGGCCCCGCCCTCCGCCCGGTCCCTCCTGCCGCCTGCTCCGGGGCCTCGCCGAACCCCGAGTCCAGTCCAGCCGGGTCCCTTCTCTTCGCTGCCAGCTTCTCTGGCCCGACCTTTAGAAGTACAATGCTGGGACCCCGAGCTCCGGTCCCTTCCCTAGGCCAGGAGACTCAGGCGAGGTCCTCCTGAGACGCCCTGGCCCGCCTCTCGGCCGGCCCAGCCCAACCCGGCTCGCTGGGCGCGGTCCGTTCCGATGGGTGCTTAAAACCGACCCCGGAACCCCGGAGCCGGGCCTGGAGCCCTGAGCCCGAGCCCGCCTCGCTCCAGATCCGAGGCTGCACTTGGGTCACAGCGCCCCGCGGCCTCCAGCGTCCCCGGGCCCCGCGCCCCGCCCCGGCCCCGCGCGCTCACCCGCGTTGTAGAAGGCGTCGAGCGCCGCC